CCCTATAAACCCTAAACCCTTAATAAACCCCTAAATCCCAAATGCCCAGCCTCCACGTCGCTGCCTTCGGCCCAGCTGCCCGGCCGCCAGGAGAGCGGCCGAGGCCACGGCGGCCTCCGTCGGCCCGCTGGGGCTTTTAAGCTTTAGGATTTATAGGTTTTTTTTTGATTTAAGGGTTTTGGGTTTATAGGCTTTTAGGGCTTGGGGCCTTTAAGCTTTATAGGATTTATACGTTTTTAGGGTTTAGGCTTTAGGATTTATACGTTTTCAGAGTTTAGGGGTAACAGGGGTCAGCTTTGGGGTTTGCTTTAGGATTTATACGTTTTCAGAGTTTAGGGGTTTAGGGGTAAGCTTTGGGGTTTGCTTTAGGATTTATACGTTTTTAGGGTTTAGGGGTTTAGGGTTAAGCTTTGTTTATAGGACTGTTAGGGTTTAGGGGCCGTTTCATTGGCGTTTGGGTTAAAGGGTTTCAATGCTAAGCTGGGGTTTAGAAGTTTTTACCCTAGGGTCTTGGATTTCAGGTTTTTACATTATATGCATCTGTCTTCGAGGTTCGCAGTCGGGGGCTCTGAGTTCTTGACATTTGGAAGCATCAAGCATGCCGAGTTGTTCAACATTTTGAGTTGGCGGCGGTTCTCACAACGTGATCAAAACAAGACTCAAATCGCACAGGTATAGCTACACCATGACCGTGCACATCTTCATGCTTGCGACATGTGCCAGGGCCTGTGTAGGTACGTTTGTTGTTCTGTCTGTGTCTGTATGCATAAACGAAACTACCAAATCAATAACACATGTAAGCATGTAACTGCACGTCAGCGAGCACGTGCCAAGGAAAACAGCCGCGCACAGCACGCATGCATGCATGCTCGCTTGCACGCTTACATCCACACATCCATGCGTACATCTATACACGCATACATGCACATGCTACATGCACACATGTATGGCATGTGTTTCGAGTCCACGAGCTTCAAGATGTTGTCTATAAGTGTTCGCAGTCAAGCATGTCACTAACCAAAACCGATACAACGTGCACTCTCAGGGTCCTAGTCCTAGTCATTACGTTTGTAAGGAACCATTCGATCAGTCGATGCACTCGCACAAGTCTAAGAGCACGCAAGTCTCCCCAACATCCGGAAGAATGGACAATCCCTGCCCGATTGGTACTCGAGGAAAGCCGTGCAGTGTGAGGCTCCGTCCTGCAAAATGGCTTCAAGCCATTCTTGTGTTTGTTGGTTGCGGCCACAGAAAGGAAGGGTCTGGCGCAGTTGTAGACAGTGAGGTAACAAAACCAAGATCGAGCCAAGTGCGCAACACGCGAGCGGGACACCGGTGCTGCAAAGTTTAACCTAAAGCCCTAGGCCCTGGAGGTAAAGGCGCTGACTCTGAGCTTTGGAACACCTCCGGTGGCACCTGCTCTCGGTTCGGCCTGCTGGTTGGTTCGGGGTTTATTAGGGTTTAGGGTTCTGTCGGCGAGAGCCAGGCGTTGGGATCTAGATAATTAGATTTGCACTTGATGTCTGCAAGCTAGAGCCTTACTGCATACAAGAACACTGGAACCACGACCAATCCGAACCCAGAGAAAAAGCACGTATGCAAACACAATATGCACAGCTGTCAACCAAATCAGGAGCAGCAGCAATAATCCATAAGAGTACGAACACGGCCAAAAAAAGCAACGCCAGTCCGAATGTTAGTCGTCACCATGACCGTAATCGTCAACATCATCACCATCATCGTCAGCATCTCCTCCCCCTCTGTCTCGTCCTCTTCCTCATCGTCCTCGTGCTCAGCATCATCATCGTTGTCATCACCGTCGCGGCCATTACCGCCACCAGGATCGTTTTAATCGCCACAATCATCATCGACGTGGGATTCTTTTTGCTTGGTTATCTTCTGGAGTGGTTGGGTACATGAGTAGTCAAGCGCTGCCACAGGCTTTCCCGCTTCTGGCATGACTTGTTCTCGCATGTTAGATGGTCGCCCCTTCTTGTTCTATGAGGGGCTCATAGTGATGTCCTGTCTGTCGGCACCGCAACAAAATTATAGTCATCATCGACGTGGCCCACGTGTTTTGCAACACCATCAAGCGCTCGTCAATCAAACTCATCGACATCGTCGTTGAGCTTTTCACCTTCTTCTCCTTCTTCTCATCCATATCACCTCACTGTCATCGGGGGTTCCATCATCAACAACATCAGCACCCCTTGCCCCCTTCATCGCCACCGTCATCATCAAAACAGCATCATCGCTGTTAACCGCCATCCTCCTGAACAGTCGTACAAGCATTATCATCATCCAGGACACAAATAGCCGCTATCGTCAGTGCCACGCAATCCGCGATCTTCAAAGAACCCCGTCCTGGATCGGTGCAGAACTGGCGCGGTTGGGGCCTGCTGTCAGCTGCGTCTGTCAACGCCGGCTGGGACTACTGCTGCTGTTGCTACTGATATATGGGAGTCTCACAAACAACAAACTACCCCAACAGAACCCTAAACGCGAGGATCCGTGTTGCAAAGCTCACCGAGTTTGCCACACATCCGATGGATGCCTGAGGAATAAGGGTAATGCATTGTTTACAGCCTAGTATAGTGTAGTATAGTATAGTATAGTACTTATTGTGTGTTGTAGTACTTTCTAACACTTTCTAATATTGGTATCGTATGATATATTGATGTATCTTATCTGCTCATTTCGTCTCTAGAGCATACATCTGTGGCCCTCCGAGCTCCCAGCAGAGGCCCTCGGGTTGGACGGCTGCATCGTCAGCGCCATGGCAGTACAAGGGATAGAACCCCAAGGAACTACCCCGTGTGAAGGACGATCGGAGAGATGCATGTGACATGTGATGGAGAGGTGGTTCCTGGGCATGGGAACCTGGCGATTGCAGCTGCCTCATTTTTGCTGATGATGCGATCTGTCGCTCATGTTTTGCCGATGTGTGGGCGGGTCCACTACTGCAAGATCTTCTTCCTGATTCAACTCAACAGCAAGGCATGCACCGTACACTGAGATTGTGATCAGCCTGTCAGGTGCTTTCAGTTCCATGCAGCAGCCGTGCTGGAGGAGTTTGGGCTGGAGGGGATTGGAGCTCCGCCAAGAGCCCTGTATAGAACAAACAATAACCCTAAACCCCCGTGCACTCGTTGATTGCTTGGTGCCAGGTACCAGACGCTTGAACGCAAATGACTTGCCGTATTAATTATACCAGTAGGGGCCTTAATAATTTAGAATAGGGTTTGGGGGAGTATATTATAGTATATTTATAGCAAAGAGCCCTCAAAATAGTATTGGTAATAATTTTGGCCTCTAAATTACTTTAGCGCGCTGCAAACCTTTTCAAGCCGAAATAAGAGCCAAGAGCTACAACTGAATCTTCTTGGGTGCTCTGCCTACTCCTCTCTTGCTCCAACTATGAACTAGTGGTATTCCCACGTATACTAACTAGCAGTGCTGCCTGCGACCATTATATAACTCTCTGTCCCTCGCTATGTATATATATATATATGTAATCCTTTAATATACATATATGTATATATAATATATATCTAAAAACATAAATAAATCTCTCTCTCTCTCTCTCTTTCTGTCAGCGAAGCATCAGCCTGAAGGCGGCCTTTCTCGCTCGGTGGTGAGCCAGGGCGGGTCGGCGCAGGCATAGGTTACCGCATCCGCTCCGCCGTCTGCGCCGTCATCCCAGAGGCCATGAAGGCCTCCAGCCAAGCAGAGGAAAAGCTTGCGAGGCTTTCAGGATTTTGCTATCACCGGAAAGGGAGCAGAGATCTCTTCCGGGGTTAAAGATTCTAAGGCCCCGGTGGTGCAATGTGAGGATCTTCATCCGCGGTACAACCTCCTATCATTGCGCTGGGGTGCACTGTCTGACTAACGCTGGAGAACACATGGACTGGTGCTATCAGCAAGCTCATGCAACACTTCTTGAAGGGATTGCGGGGCGCAGGGTGTACGCTGAGCTCCGTGGACTGGAACCATATAGTCGAAGCGTCTAGCACTTCCACTGTACTATCCCACACCCAAGCGTCACCAGCAGTCATTTTCCTTCACGAGCCGCGCGCTCATGAAATCTCAATCACCTTTCTCCAGAAGGGTGATGGAAGAGTATTTGGGCATCTTCACACCCTTGGACATCATTACCTGCTTGGCATCTTTGTACTCCTTATCCGTGACACCGGTGAGGCTGCGCTTCACACCACCGAGGAAATAGTGCTCCTCCACAAAGGCAGTCATGTCGTGGCTTAGGACATCCGAGCGTGCCAGGCAAGGGATGAGATCAAACTCGGCGCCCTCAATGTCAACTTTCAGCAACACTTTGTCTCCCGGGATCGTCTTCGACTTGATGAGAGAAATAACGTTGATCAGATGCACTTGTACATCATTCGCATTGCCTTGTGGAGCGAGGGATGATGCAGCCTTGCAAGCAGGAGCATTGCACAAATGGTTCATGTCCAGCTGACAAGGCGATGCATTGGTATACAAACGACACAGCACATGTCACTCCCAGATATCATGAGGACTAGCTGGTGACTAGCCTTCTCGTTCGCACACACATACGCGCGCGCACACACACAGACATATATATATATATATATATGTAAACAAAACATGTGCTCGTTCGGCGGGCAGGTTCGTGGCTTGTGAGCAGGCAAAACCCCCTCGAAGTAGCAATTGCGACCGAGGCAATGAGACAGATACTACAGCAGCTACCCCTACTTACTACTACTGCTACTACTACNNTACTACTACCGCTACTGCTACTGCTGCTACTACTACTACTACTACTACTACTACTGCTACTGCTACTACTACTACTACTACTACTACTACTACCACCGCTACTGCTGCTACTACTACTACTACTACTACTACTACTACTACTTCTCCTGCTGCTGCTGTTGCTGCTGCTGTTGCTGCTGCTGCTACTGCTACTACTACTACTACTACTACTACTACTACTACTACTTCTACTACTTCTACTACTACTGCTCCAGCGCCTACTCCTACTCCTATTGTTACTCCTGCTACTACACTCCTACTCACGCTGCTGCTGCTAGTACTACTCTTCTTCTCGTTCCACTGCCATACTACTACTAGAACTAGAAAACTGAAAATCATTGCTACACTCAGAGTTAGAGTCATCAGTTATACTTATTGTCATCACTATGTGCGGCTGCCCAATTGCGCGCCTGACGTGCAAACTACCTGGTGCTCACATGTGAAATGACTCCGGGATCTCCCAACACTTCGATGCTCCCCGGACACCCTCAACTCCACACCATCATCAACCCTTATAAGCCACACTTCCCAAACCCTAGCCCTGTATCCTATATCCCAGTAGTCTGAGGTCAAGGTGCTGATGCTTTGCCTACGACGTGGAAGGTGGTGTCGGCCTCGCACATCCAGGCGCCATTCATCATGGGGAAAATCTCCTCCAGGGGACACGCGAGACCCTGACATGTGGTGTCACCCGCAGTCAAGGGCTTCCAAGCGTTGAGAGTTTGTGGTTTGAGCGATGACAGGTTTAGGGGTAAGGGGCTTTTTAAGGTTTAGGCTAGGGGTTTCGGGGTTCAAGGGTCCGCGAGTTGACGGCAGCTGTGGGTTTTGTCTCGGATCTCCGGGGCTCCTTTCCCGGTGCGGACTTCGCAGCCTTGTTGTTCAGCTCCTTTTGGAAGAAGGGGTTTGCCTCCACCAGATACGCCTCGTACTCCTGGTTCGGGCAATCCTTAATCTGACCATATTCGCCTCGAAGGAAAGCGTTGTAGCTGTTGCCATCCGCAGCCCCGAGATCGATGAAGATGCACTTCGGCCTCGTGCGACTGGGCCTGGCTACCGCAGAAGTGTCCGCTTGACACTGGCACGGCGAACTTCCATGCAGCCGTTCGCGAAGGGATTTGGCCGCCTGGGCCGCAGAGGCCAGAAACAAGGCAGCCACAAGGAAACGAAGCATCAGAAAAGCCTCTCCTCTACATTTTCTGCAGAGCCGCAAACGAAACGGCTTCCAGCATGCATCTTAGATTCCACACACCTCTCGCTCCCATCGCGGGCCCTCTTCAGAAGACTCCCATAATTACGAGTATACAGAGCTCCCGAGCCTTCGGCGGACTCCTGGAGCCGAGGTCTTGGAAGGATGTCCGCCAGCGCCTCGCCGAAGCTTCAGATGCTCTTTTTTGATGCTCTGACAGCGCAGACTTCTTAGAGCCGGTGCCTTTGCCTCCAGTTCTCCTAGAGCTCCTACGAACCGCATAGGGTACCGTAGGGTACCGTAGGGTCGTGGAGATTCACAAGGTCGGCACACGAACCTGTGTCGACAGCACGCTTCGGATAGAATCGGGCATATGAATGAGAGCAAGCTTGTCCAGTGCAACGAAGGGTTCCGAAGGTTTGATCCCTAAACGGAGGCGATGCCCAGATGGATCGATATGGTTCCCGACTCGTCTGTCGTTTGATGCTTGTACATGTAGGTGGCTTGTCTAGTGTGTATATGCAAGCAGTTTGTTGCAGGCGGCCGCAACATGAAGGGCCATGTTGACATTAGATGATAGGTGGTGTTTATCTAAAGCCGCCGCAGTGCATGCTTCGATGCATGTAGTAGCGCTGAACCGGCTCCCCTTCCTAGGCGCCCCCGACGCCTTGCCGGCATCCAGGCTCTGATCCAGCTTCACCGAGTACACCGAGGCATGGAGTTGCATCACATCCTGCGGTGAGTCTAGGGCGGCATTCCTAAGATGCGGCTGGGGCCGCTGTGGGCGTCAACTTGCTTTAAGTACGGTTCCACACGGCCGCAGCAGCGTTGGGAAGCTCTGCATGTCTGCGACTTGCCCGACTCCGACAAAAAATCGCCATTTAATTACTGAGAAGGTTGAGCCAAACTAAGGATGTCAGAGCTGAGCAAACGGCGACACTCAACGGGACTTGGCTCTTAACCAGCAGAGCTGAGCAAAGCAGGGTGAGCACAGGGCACTGCCACGTTTCCGTTGTCCTCGTTCTCCGTGGTGGTGCCATAGACCGGATCACCCAGAATCGGAAAGCCTAGGACTGACAGTAGTGAACCGGCAGTAACCTGCAGAACTCGGCCTAAGCTAACACACTGCCCACGACCGTCACTGAAAAGACTATGCCTGCTTCCTGTGAGGCTCAGACCCATGGCCGCAAGATGGACACGGATCTGGTGGGTCCGCCTTGCTCTGGGAGACGTATTCGTTGGGTTGCTTGACAGCAGCATGCTGGCCATTATAGAATCCACATTCCGCATATCCGTCCATAGCATGGCGCCTGCCTTTACATCCGTGCACTAGGCTGTGGACGGCCGATGCGGCCCTATGTCATGGCTCTGGTGGGCTCTCCGAATGTCACGGTCACATCTTCTTGTCCTCTGATCGGCGCGAATCTGGCCCACTTCAACCCAATAAAAATTGGGATCCGGAGCTCCCTCCCGCGGAAACTACCAGAATGCGCCCTCGCAGCTTCCGAAGATTCTGTAGCCTTGCAAAGGCCCCGGCCCTGTCTCCAGGCGGCAGAGAAGGCTCTCACCTCGCTGCCGCATCATCGTCTCGGCAGTTTTGCCGGCTCCTGTCACACAAGTATTTCTGATAGTTCACAGACTTTGTCAAGGCTAGAGATGGGATCTGCGCTGGCCACTGAGCTTGGGTTTGAAGCATTTGGCACTCCTGGTCGCTGCGCGAACACACCGAGACGAAAAGCCAGGTAACCAACAAAGCATGGCTTGCAAAGACAGCCCTCGGATCGTCTGGAAACCCGGCCTGTGGTGTCCACCACCACAGTGAGTGGCTGATTGGGCCGGTGTTTCTCCACCCGCAACGGCAAGCGGCAAACCACCTGCGAGCCATTGCAAGCCCACTCGAAGCGAGTATCCACACATGCCTTGCCTTCTTCTCTTTCTCTCTCTCTCTCTCTCTCTCTGCGTCTCGTCAGCTTTTCATGCTCACGCACACACGCTCCCGCCCTCAGTCCCGGATGATGCGGTGCCCCGACTCAAGGCCAAGCTGCATACGGCACTAAGTGGTCGCTCGAGGGCCGCCTCTTCATCGCCCTTCGCCGTGGTTCGGCGCTCTACCCACTGCCTTTGGCTTGCAGTCTTAGGCAGGGAGGACCAGTGGTTAATGCTGCAGACATACATACATACATACATACATACATACATACATACATACATACATATATATATATATATATATATTTGTGTTTTTGTTTGAGCAGTGCCTGAACAGGGTCCCATCGGCGGGGCTAGAAGTTCGGGATGCAAGCCTCATGAGCGGAACAGGCGGTGGACTCAAGCAAATCTAGACCCGCCCACACGATAGAATCTGCATACAAGGGTGGAATGAATGTTCGACAAAACGAGATTTGCATGAAGCATCCTGGCAGATGAAGTCGTGGAACTTTAGGATATGACCCGGATGCCCATTAGCACAGCGCCACATGTCGAATGACACCCTGCAGTCGCAATCTTCCTACCACTAAGCCCCACCCCTACACTAAACCCTCAACGCCCAAAGCTAGAACCGTACAAGCCTAAAGCTTTACATGGCACCAAGCCCTAAACACAGTAGAAGCCAAGTGAAGCCCAGATGCGGCCACCGCTCGATGGCTACCGAGGCATCGAAGCTGCCGCAAACGCCCGCGACGTAAAGCTGGCGGTTCAAGGCGTGGGCGTGTTCTGGGTCAGCATGCTTTGCTGTGCTGTGCTATTTGTTGCAGTATGCACTGTAAATTACATGTCTATACTCTATACGCTGTACTCTCTACTCTATAGTCTCTTTTAAATACCTTAGACGTTCCACTATAGACTATATACCATGCACCATACTATACTACCCTGGTGATAAGCCCCCAGGGCGCTTCTCAGAAAGCTAAAGTCCGAAATCTACTTGCAAGGTATGCTCGGTCAGGTGCAGCGAGTCGTGGCTCGTGTGCTGTCGGACTTATCCTGACTGGAACGCAGGGTTCAGTAGCACACTGCCTTGTTGTTTAATCGCTATCCAATATACTGGGACGCGAGGGCATAGCATGTTCAGTGTGCTGAGTTCGATCTCCAAGCTCTTAACCTGGATGTCCAAACTCTATGAAATCTTTACATCTCTGATGAGTAAGCCCCAAAGATCCTAACCCGTCCAGCAACCCTAACCCATCCAGCAACCCTAGGCACCATGGCAAGTACACCCCTAAGCCGTGCAATAAACACGTAGGCCCCTTCATCCCGAATCCTAGATTCGTCTTCAAGCAGATCATCCTCAGTCCCGAAGCCCTTGTGTCCGCCTTCCGCAAACCGGCGCCGTGCTCCTGAGCCAAGGCCTTGCAAGTCTTGAAGCATTTCCGACAAGTATGTACGAAAAACTTCTAAACATATAGGTATAGACATACAGCAATGAAATGCACATACCTGATATACTTGTTTCATAGAGCCATAGACTAATAGAGCGTGACGTATAAGCGCAATACATACAGTTGCAATAGGGATGCAAGATACATGCACACGCTGAGCATGCTGAGGCACTGCCTACTCGTATAACACTCACCTAAGCACCAAGCCCTACGCTCCTGTGGCTCAAACACAGCACGCAGGGGTCGGGCTTCTTCTATAGAGCAGTTGATCATGTCTGCGAGGTGACTCACCGGTACAGGATCGTCAGGCCACAAGCTGAAGGTGGGTACATGTCTATATGTATGTATGTATGTATGTATGTATGTATGTATGTATGTAAGTCTACATATATATATATATATATGTGTGTGTGTGTGTGTATTTATGTAGATGCGTGGCCGGGCCGCCGGCAGGAGGACAGGGAGGACTGCATGAAAGTACAAAAGCCAGCCGCAATTTGAGTCAGCTGGGAGCAATGCCATGTATGCCTTTCGCGTCTTTGCCAGGAGCACGATGCCTTTCGAGAGAGTAACGAGATCTGCCAAGGCTGAGAACAAGCTACGTGACGCTCGCGCCCGATTTCCCTATGCCGTGGTTGCATGAAAAGTCTGTCATTCCTGCAAGAACACATGGAGCAAACGACATCAAGCTACAACCACGACAGACTAACCTAAGGACCATTACAGTAGAGGCTAGGCTAAGCGCCCCATTTTGTGCCTGATGTCTGCCTGTCCAACCGGTTGACGGGGTGCAGGTAGCCAGTGGTATCCTTTGTAAGACCCGACATGGCTTTGCTGAGCTGTCAAATTTGTCTCCAAGGTCGGGGCCTTCGGGGGTTTCAGGGTTGGAAGAATGATGCCCAGACAGTTCCAAGAATGTCGGTGCATGGGCACAGGTCCAGCACAAAAGCAGGTAGGAGCAAGAAACACGCGTCCTTCAAATGGGACACCCGCAAGATCTCTGTGAGAGAGCACTGCTGGTACTTCCCCTGCGAGATGAAAACGTGTCGAACATGTGAGCACAAGCTGTGCAGCATGGGGCCCTCAGAGTTTGAACCTGAACTCTTTGCTGCATCAATGCCGGTTGTGCAGTCTTGGACCCCACCTGAGGGTGGCAAGGGATTCCCGCGGGCTTCCGCACCACCAGGGCCTCTCGTCAGAAGACTGGCTGGCTGGACGAACTGGTCTGTGGTGATCCACACGTCCTTCTTTTACGGGCTGCCCTTCTGAAGCCGTCTGTTTGCGATAACTCCACTAATGTAGGGGCCAGAATGTTCGATTCCACGATACGATATTCTAAACCCTAGTAGGGCTTTCTTCTCGGCAAGCTGCAGAGGCATTCTCTGCCAACACCTGCACGGCCTCTGCAGGGATTGAGGGCTCCTGGCGACATTCTGCTTACTAGTACTACTCGTACTACTAGTACTGCTAGTACTACTAGTACTACTAGTACTACTAGTAGTACTAGTACTACTAGTACTACAAGGACTACTACTACTACTACTACTACTGCTACTGCTACTACTACTACTACTACTACTACTACTACTACTACTATCTACTAGTACTCCGACGACGACGACGATTACTTCTACTACTACTACTACTACTACTACTACTACTACAGCTACTACTTCTTTCTACTACGACTACGACTACGACTACGACTACGACTACGACTACGACTACGACTACTACTACTACTACTA